TCCTGATCGCCTACGCATTTGGCTCGGAGCTGTGGGCGCCGTGGTCCGAGGAGCTGGGCCGCAAGCCCATCATGCAGCTCTCGCTCCTCCTCGTCAACATCTGGCAGCTCCCCTGCGCCCTCGCACCCAACTACGCCAGCATCGTCGTCGGCCGCATCCTCGGCGGCCTCTCGAGCGCAGGCGGCTCCGTCACCATCGGCATGGTCGCAGACATGTGGGAGCCAGAGGACCAGGCCATCCCCGTCCTCTACGTCGTCTTTTCCTCGGTCGGCGGCTCCTCCATCGGCCCCCTCATCGGCCCGTTCTCAGAGGCCTACCTCGGGTTCAGATGGATTTTTTGGCTCCAATTGATCTTTGGAGGCTTCGTGCAAGCGCTACACTTCCTTACGGTGCCGGAGACGAGGTCCAGTATCCTCCTGGATCGAGAGGCGAAGCGGTTGCGCGAGGAGGAAGGCCAAGACGTCTGGGGCCCCAACGAGCTCAAGGAGAAGCGATTCACGACGCGCGGCGTCCTGACCACCATGGGAAGGCCCTTCTACATGCTTGCAACTGAGCCCATCGTGCTCTGCTGTTCGCTCCTCTCTGGATTCTCGGACGCGCTCATCTTTACCTTCATGGAGGGATTTGTGAGTCGTCTTTACTTCTCTCACGGTGGCGCTGGCAGACGCGTCTGGCCTGGCCTGGCCTGGCCTGTCCTCCACTTCTTTCCCGCCTGCTCGCTGACGCCTTCCCTCCCCTCCCCTCCATATCTCTCTCTCCCTCGTTCCATCACCTGCTCGCCCGCCCTCGCGCCCATCAGATGCTGGTGTACGAGCAGTGGGGCTTCGAGGCGCCTCTGACGGCGACGACGTTTGTGCCCATCTGGATTGGCTACATCATCGCCGTCATCTCGTACCTCTACCCGATCCGCAAGTTTGACAAGGCGCGCCGCCGCGACCCGGACAGCATCACGCCCGAGTCGCGCCTCTGGTGGCTCCTCTTCCTCGCCCCGCTCGAGGGCATCGGCCTGTTCGGTTTCGCGTGGACCTCGCAGGGCCCGCCGACGACCCACTGGATCGCACCCATGATCTTTTCCGTCCTCGTCGCCATTGCCAACCTCGGCATCTACTACTCGACCATCGAATGTGAGTCCCGCGCCCCGCCCCGCGCGCGCGTTCGACGCACACGGGCGTATGCTGACAGTGGATCTTCTGGTTCCTTGCGTGCCCTCGCCTTCCTTTGCCTCTGCCTCCTGCCTCGCTCCTCTGCCCTCATGCTTGCCCTTCTACAGACATGGTGAGTCGGACCCGCCAACCCTCTCGTCCTCCTTCCACTCCCACCCAAATACTGACCCCTCTCCCCCTCTACCTCCTCTACCCACCTCCTACCCATCAGATGGCAGCCTACGGCCCCTACTCGTCGAGCGCCTCGGGCGGCAACGCATTCATGCGCAACGGTCTGGCGGGCATCGCGACCATGTACTCGACGCCGCTCTTCAACAATCTGGGCTACCAGTGGGCCTCGTCGCTCCTCGGCTTCCTCGCCTTTGCCGTCACCGCCCCCATCTTCCTCTTCTACTGGAAGGGCGAGTGGGTCCGCTCCCGCTCCAAGTTTGCCCAGAGCCTCGCAGAGGACCGCAAGGAGAACCAGGGCGGACGCATGGAAAAGTCGCACCATGCCCCCAACGACACCGAGGCCTAGCGGGCACTCCGCTCGTCAGACCCTCTCTCTCCCTCTCTCCCTCTCTCCCTCTCTCGCTCAGTCTCCCCGATACCATCTCTTTTTCTCTGCGCCCCCACGCCACCATCCTTGCTGTAGATCTAAGTACCCTTCCCCTCCGCTCCCGCCTCTAGAACGTGCCCTCGCTGCTCTCTAGACTTTCGCCCGTCCGTATGGCTTGCTGCATTGTTATTCTCGGCCGCATTGCACTGCATAGCATCCCTCTGCCCCTCCCTGCCCCGTCTCTCGGCCTCCTGTCCCGCCTCGCCCCGCGTAGTACCCTGCATCGGTAATGCTCGCCCACTGTATCAATTTCCTTGCTCTCCTGTCCTCGGCGCGTCTCGCGATGTGCCCTACCTTACCTTGCCTTGCCTTGCCTTGCCTTGCCTTGTCTTGCCTCGTCTTGTTTTGCCGTTCCGATCCGATCCGATCCGACCGCCTGCCCGGCCGCCCACCACGTCGTGTCAGTAGGCTCAAAAGCTGAGCTGGACGGGACCGATGGTGAGGTTGAGCGCTGGACCGCTTGCGGATCCGGAGGCGAGGTTAGGTGGTGGTTTGGCGATTTTGGCGTCAAAGCGCGCCGCGGCGTCCTGGATCATGTCGAGGAACGAGGCGCTGTTGTGCACCGTCGTTCCACCTAGCAGGAACCGCATCCCCATCCCCGTCCCCGTCCCCGCCGAACCACCACCACCACCCCCACCACCTCCACCGCCTCCGCCAGCGCCGACGATACCGTCGGTGGATCCGCCGCCGTGCTGGTGTTGCGCATTGAGGAGGGCAATCGTCCGTGCCTCTTCGTACGTCGCCCCGCCGACGATGAAGAGTATCACATCCTGCGGCCGTTGTTGCTGCTGCTGCTGCTGCTGCTGCATGACCCCATCCATCCCGGATCCACCACCGCCGCCACCGCCGCCGATAAAGGGATAGCTCGTCTCGCGTAACCGGCCGCGGATGAGGTGGTCAATCGTCTGCGAGAGGTGCGGCGAGTGCTGCGTGTACACGTTTTCGACGCCCTTGAGGCCCATGATGGCGCTGCGACCGCGCGAAAAGAGGTTCTCGTTGGCAAACAGATCGTCTTGCCGCTGTTCCGAGCCCGCCAGGTTGAGCATGACGAATACGAGCTGTCGAAGCGCCGGGGGCCAGCGTGGCACGGAAGAACATCGTCAGCATCTCCGCTACCACTTGGACGAGGAGCCGCTGCACAGAGAGGATCCTGGTGTCCCGCGACTCACGGCGGCTCGGCTCTCTGGCAACCCGACCTTGAGCAACCGTTGTACCAGCGGCTGGATCTGGTTGCCCGAAAACTTCTGGTAGCGCAGGGCATAGAGGATCGTGAGGCGCAGCTTGGCGTCCTGCGACACCGTCTCGGAGTCGACCATGGCCTGGACCGCCTGCGATTCGGGACAGACAAGAGTGGGAAGGGCAGAGCGGGCAGTCCCACCGAGTCAGCCGACGACTGCCATGAGCGCCTTGCCATCGCAACAGACAGCTCTGCCGCGCCGCTCCGCTCCGCCGCCGCACTCACCTTGAGGTCCGAGGCATGGCTCTCGACGCTGGCGAGGCTCTGCTCGAGCTCGCTGACCTGCAGCAGGCCATCCTTTTCCACGCGCTTGCTGAGCTCGCCGAGCAGCGCAACGTGCTTCGACACGTTGCCGCCCAGCTTGCGGAACTCGGGGTACTCTTCGACAAAGCGCTTCATGTCGGCCACCGTCTCGATGGTCGAGTTGGACGCGGTGCGCGACTGGTACTCGAGGACGTACTTTTTGATGCTCGCGCCCAGGTCGCCAAAGTTGTCGTAGAGGTTCGACGCAAAAAAGGGATCCTGGTCGGCGGACAGGACAATCTCCTGCGGAGCGAGCGGAGCGGGAAGCGGCGGGAACCAATCAGGCAGGTCGTGGCCGTTTGACAAGCGGTTGTCAGCTATCCATCGCAGGGCTCCATCCCCCATCGAACTGCCCCGGCTGGACCTACCCTCAGCTCTGGGCGGATACCCTCGGCGTCTGCGAGGCTGACCCTGCCGTTGTTGATGCCAAGAACCTCGTGGACCATCGCCTGGTAGGTCCACTGCGTGAGGAGGGGCGTGACTGGATCGTTGCGGCGGTCGAGGATGAGGAGCAATGGCGGCACGTCGGTCCTCCTGAAGTCGAACAGCTGTGGCTGACCGGTATGCATCTGGTACTGCCAGAAGGATCAGCAGAGAGCCAGCGGACGGCCAATCGGCCAGCTCGGGCGTGTCAGCGTCGGTCAACCCACAACAACAGGACCAAGGAAGAAGCGGAGGGAGGGGCGCGCCGACTGAAGAGCTGCTCACGTGGACCTCTTCGCCGAGCTTCTTGGCCAGCGCGCTCATTCGTTCGTAGCGGATGACTGGCTTCTTTTTCAGGCTGAGGAGCAGAGCCGTGAGCCCCTTGACGTGCTGTTCGAGGGCGGCTTCGTCCCACTGGTTGGGCCGGTCCGCCCATATGCGTGCGGGCGGGGTGGCGAGGTTGAACGAGAAGAGGTCCGGGTTGACGGGCTGGTAGTCTGCAAAGTACTCTTGGATCTCCTTGATGACTTCGTGCTCGTCGGCCTCTGCGAGCGCCTCGATGTCCTGCTTCTGGAGGACGTTGGTGAAGTAGACGTAGTAGGAGCGGTAGCGGGGCCGCCGCAGCTCCTGGACGAGGGCCGAGATCGAGGCTGGCGTCGGGCGGAGGAGGGCGATGCAGTTGAGGTGCTTCATGCGGTCCCGGTTCGGGTTGTCGACGCGATCCGTGAGGTACACCTCATGGCTTAGTAGGGCGGACTGCGTGAACGAGGTCGAGATGATGGGTGTGGTGTGCTGGTCGAGGAGGAGGACCTTGATGCCGGACGTCTGGGTGATGATGCGCTGGATGTAGGCCGAGATGGCCTTTACGACATCCATGACGGCGGCAGCGGCGGCAGCGGCAGCGGCGGCAGCGGCAGCGGCAGCGGCAACGGCAGTAGCAGGTGCGAGCGAGGTGCGTCAGTCGGCAACGACGGTGTTGAGATGGTGGCTCAGTGATGGTAGTGGTGGTGGTGTTGGTGGTGGTGGTGGCGGCCGAGAGCGCGGTGGGATGGGCGATCCGTGCGTCGAGTCGTGGCCCGCGTCACTGTCCGGCTTCCGAGGCCAGCCGTCAGGGCTCACTCCGGGACATGGTGGCGCCCTAGGAGCTGACAGCCTGGGCCCACATTCGAGACACATACGGATGGCCCCTTTCAACGGCTCACCTCGCGGCGTCGACTCAGTAGGTCTTGCAGGCCACCTCAATGCAACCTGGCTTTGTGCTGTGGATGCGCCTGCCAAGCATGCTGTACGAGGCGCTCGTTGACGGGATCAATGCCTGTCACATCATCTCCCTCATGACAATCCCGCGAAAGGGTTTCTGAGGGCATCGTTCCTACAGGCTCTACTCTAATGGGCAGAGCAATGATGCTGCTGCGAGCTAGTCCATGCGACTCGGACCAAGCTGGCGGGGATGCAGAAGGACACGACCTGCTGCCGCGTCTCTAGCAAACGAGGGAGCGCACGACGTCCAAGACCTCCTTGTCCCTCTTTGCCGCCGTCCAGACACGTCCAATCGAACCCAGCGAGTCGAGTAGAAGGTCGAGATCCTTTCTCCTCTGCCCCTCCCTCTCTGCGTTCAGCACCGATCGCCCTCCCGCTCCGTCCTCCTCCAATACCGCCACGGCCGACGACGAAGGAGGGGAAGAGGAGAGGGACAGCAGAGCCTCGACGGCCTTGGTGATGGGTAGGAAAAGGAACGGGTTCTTCCTTTCCAACCACCCTCCGGCTCCATCCTCGTCCCATTCCACAGCCTCGTTTGGGCAAGACGTGGAGCGCAGTGCCTTGACGAGTCGGACGATCTCCTTGATCGATCGTATCGTCTTGGTGCGCGAGAACCGGCACAATGCGTCCGACGATGACGAGGATGACGTCGATGTTGGTGGCGACGACGACGACGACGAGGGGGTCAGGTGGATGTAGTTGCGGTGCAGCGTGAGGCTGATGAGGTGGAAGAACAACGAGATGCAGATGATGTGCGCATCCGCCGTCTTTGCCTTTGTCGACGCGGCCACCACCGACGAATCCGCGGCGATGCCAGCGGTACCGGACGAGGCGACGGTGGTAGATGACGACGACGACGACGACAACAACGGGCGAAGGCCAGAGGGAAGCTGGTTGTACCATGCCTCGAGGCGCAGGTCGAGGGCCGTGACCTGCTCAAACTCGCCTTCCCCTATCCCCTCACCATCCCTCGCACCGGTCGCATCCTGCAGGAACTCGAGGATGTCAGAGGCGACGAGGAAGAGCTGGATCTGGTACCGATAACCCTCCGAGATAAAGATGGGAAACGTAGCGTCGAGCTCGGGCTGGATGGGCGGCAGTCCGCACAAAATGTCGGAGGAGCGAAAACGGCTCGGCCGCCCCTGGCGCAACGCCAGCATTGTCTCGACCCAGAAGCACGCCCAGAAGGTCAAGGTGTGCAGCCGATCGTCCTCGGGGGAGAGGTGCGAGTGGTCGCGGTGCAGGTCCAGTCGGAGGCAGAGTCGGAGCGCCATAACGAGGTACGTATCCGCCAGCGCCTCTTTGGCCTGCGCGAAGCACGTCTTGACCAGCCCAACGAGGCCGCAGACGGTCGAGAGACGTGGGTCGGCGAGCTCGGCGCTGATGAGCGAGTTTGTCACTTGCCAGAAGCGATCGAAGACGACCGCCGGGTCGCGGGAAGCGTGCCGGAGCCTGGAGCGGCGACGGACCTCGTCGCCATCCGCGTCGCTGCCGCTTTCGGTGCCCTCAGACACGCTGTGGGTGCAGCTGCTGCTGGGCGAAGGGCCAAACAAAGAGTCGAGATACGGTCGAGTCTGGTAGGCCGCACCGAGGCAGAGGAGCGAGCCGAGCAGGAAGGTCGAGTAGGCGTGGCTGCGCGAGGCTGGGTGGCGGACAAAGGCTTTAAAGAACGTCGGCCGCGGGATCAGCCGACCGGGAGCGATGCCGTGGTCAAAAGTGGTGTAGAGGCAATGCTCGAGCAGCGGCCGTGGCGTGTCGACAAAGAGGACCTCGTAAGCGTCGGCGAAGACCTGGTCGGACGAAAGGAGTCGACCCTTCCCACGGTCCTGCCCGACCGATGCTTCTGAGGCAAGCTGATGACGCTGCTGCTGGGCGCCAGCTTGAGCTGCCAAGTTGCAAGCGTTCTGCAGGGGATTGATGCAAAACCTGGGTCCGGAGAGCGGGACCACGCCGTCGTCATGGAGCGACTGGGCCGACTTTGCCTTGCCCTTTGCGGAGGAGGGGCTGCTGACGGTGGGTTCGGACGGTTGTGCGTATTCGTCGAGCTTTGCCTCGAGAGCCTGAATGCGGGCGTGGAAGGCATACTGCATGCTCTTGTTGACGGGTTTGCGGCGGTCGCCGTTTGCGTCCCAGGCGCACTGGCGGGACGAGGAGCGCTGGCAGGTGGAGCAGATGGGCTTTACGCCATCACAGCGTCGCTTCCTCTTTCTGCACGGGATGCAGGCTGCGCTGGAGCGCTTGTCGTTGCGGGCGGAGCGGGGGAGAAGGCTTGGGGCGGCGGCGCTGCTGGAGCGAGGGCGGCTGGGACCCGGTTGGTCGAGGTGGGAGTGGGCATGGGCGTCGGACCGAGGCGAGGAGTGCGAGTGGTCGAGCGGCATGGGTTCGATGGGCGAGTGGGAATCTAGGCTGGCACTGGTGCGGTGAGTGCGGGCGTCGTGGTTGCCGTCTGCCCGGGTGGTGGCGACGTTGGCAGTGTTGGGCGTGTGCATCGAGGGGAGGAGAGGTGTTGGCTCCGAGTGGAAGGTGTACGGGGTCCAGTGTGTGCTCGGTGTGGCCGATGTGGCGGGCGACGAGTCGAGGACATGGTTGTGGACATGGCGAGCATGGTGGTGTGGTTGGTCGGGCATCGAGGGGGAGGGCGGTCAGGGTGGTGGAGATGGCGGTGACGGTGGCAGCGAGGGCGAGGGAGGGTGGTGATGAAGGAGCGAGGGATGCGACGGGATGCGGTGCGGCATTGTGGTGATGGTGGTGGTGCGTGTGCTGCGCCGCGAAGAGGCAGTGACGGAGTGCATTGCAGCAAAGGGCGAGCGACGAGGCGGTGGTGATGAAGTGGTGGTGGTTGAGTGCCAGGCCAGGCTGAGCGGCAATCGCGGCGGCTCTGTTGGGGCCCACGGCAAAACGAGCAGCCGCCAGGCAAGCAGGCAGGGGGCCAGGCAGGCTGAACGAGCCAGAGAGAGAGAGGGCAGCCAAGGGCCCAGCCAGATCCGACTTCCGAGGACCTCGGCCAAAAGGCCGGCCCTCACCCAGGCCTGACCCTGACCCTGACCCTGACCCTGACGACTGCTCGGTTGGTTGGTTTGGCTGGCGGGCCCCCACGTCGATCCCCCCACACTGCACTGGCCCTCGCCCTCGACTTTTTTCTTTCTTTCGCCTGCGCTGCGTTTTCCTGCCTGTGCGTCTGGCCAGAACTGACCTTGTCTAGGTCGAGCGGCCAGAGGGGCCTCTGTTTCGTCAGCCCTCTGCCGGCGAGCCTCGTGAATCCAAGGCGAGAGACCAACACGGGCCCAGGTCGCCTCGTCTGCCCCCTCTGTCTGTCTGCCTACCACCACCACCACCATCCCCTGCCTCTCTGGCAGTCCATCGCATCTCCTCCCTCTGCTGCTCCTGCTGCTCCTTCTGCTCCTTCTGCTCCTTCTGCTCCTCTGCGGTCAAGCACACATCTGCACACCACACCCGCACACGACACACGACGCCCAACCTCACGACCATCGCTCACGACCACAACCGCCATGACGCAACCCCCGTTTGCGCCCATGCGCAAGTCGCTCTCGGCATCCTCGAGCCACTCGACCGAACGCAGCCCACTTCTCCAGTCAGACGCACCACTTCCCTCCACCGCACGATCCAGGTCAGCCTCCCCGTCCCCAGCCTACGACTCCATTCCGCATCCGCTGCCACCCGCCAACACTTCCTCTGCACTCCTCCCTTCCGCCGCCGCCGCCGCCGCCGCGCCCAGGACAAGGCGTTCCTCGACCACCGCAAGACCCCTCTTGCCCCCGACCCGCGTCCATCCATCCCACGACATTGAGGCGCAGGATGACCTGCAGCACTCCGACCCGTCACGATACGCCCCGGACCCCAACCAGTACCCCGCTTCCGCACACCTCGACGCCATTCACGACGACGACGACGAACGGGCGGCCCTCGCAAGCACCGCCCGCAAACACAACCACCACCACCACCATGACGACAACGACGCCGCAGCCTCTGCCAGCACCAGCGTCCTCCCCTTCCCCCACCAGCGCGACCCCGCCAAGCCCCTCCGTCCGGACCACTATGCCGCACGCCGCCGCCTCGACTCGGCCCGCGCCTTTGTCGCGCGCAACCAGGGCCTCTGCCTCCTCGCCACGAGCCAGTTCTTCTTCAGCCTGATGAACCTCTTCTACAAGCTCATCTCGTCGCAGCGCATCGACGGCGTCCAGATTGGCGCCCTCGAAATCATCTTTATCCGCATGGCCATCACCTGGTCCGGCTGCATCGCCTACATGCTCGCAGCCGGCGTCGACAACCCCTTCCTCGGCCCTGCGGGCGTGCGCGGCCTCCTCGCGCTGCGCGGCTTTTCGGGATTCTTTGGTCTCTGTGAGTGCATCACGGGGGAAGCACAGCGCGCGGGTCAAGGTTCAGCGCACCAAGCACCATGCTCACCCCTCCCTGCCCACCTTACCTTCTCCCGTTTCCGTGCGCGACCCGCAGTCGGCCTATACTACTCGCTGCAGTACCTCTCGCTAGCCGATGCGACCGTCATCACCTTCCTCGCGCCCCTCGCCACGGGCTTCCTCGGCTACCTCGTGCTGGGAGAGCGCTTCACCCTGCGCGAGTTCCTCGGTGGCATCGCCAGCCTGGGCGGCGTCGTCCTCATTGCGCGGCCCGCCTTTATCTTTGGCCGCAAGGTGGCCGACGAGGACCTCGACGTGCCCATCTCGCCCGACGCCCTCGGCAGCGGCAGCGAGGCGGCGAGCACCAACCTGGCCAATGAGATCGTAAAGAGGGCCGCCTCGCTCCTCCTGACGGCTAGAGAGGCTGGCCCCGGTGTGAATGGCAGCGCAGCGACGACGACGACGACGATGGCGCCGCCTTACGCACTGCACACCTCGAGCGCCCATCCTGGCAGCGTGACCGAGGCAGAGAGGTTGTTGGCCGTCGGGTGAGTGCACGCATGCCCGATCCAGGACTTGCCGCCCCCGGAAACTGACCTGACCGACCCACGCGTCCCTCTTGCACCCTTGCTTGGACCCATCTGCGCGCCACCTTGTGCGAACCCAGCTTGGCGCTGCTGGGCATCTGCGGAGCGGCGGGCGCCTACATCTCTATCCGCGCCATCGGCCGACGCGCATCGGCGACGCACTCGGTGGCCTACTTTTCCCTCTACTCGACCCTCGTCAGCGCCGTCCTGATGTGGTACACGTCGACGCCCTTTGTCTTGCCGCGCGATCCCAAGTGGTGTCTCCTCCTGATCTGCATTGGCGTATTCGGACTGCTGGCCCAGGTGAGCCAAACACCCCCCACCTCTGCTCCCCTTGCCTTCCCGATCCGATACCTTCCCCATCTAGCTCCATTCGTACTCACCCCTACCACCGCCACCACCTCCCTCCTCCCCTCGGCGTGTCCTACGACCCCGCCGCACCGCACCGCGACAGATCCTGCTAGCCATGGGACTGCAGCGCGAAAAGGCCGGACGCGCCAGTTCGACCGTCTACCTGCAGATTGTCTTTGCCTCGCTCTACCAGCTCTTTATCCTCCACGTGCCCATCAACGCCCTCAGTGGCGTGGGCATGTCCATCATCCTCGCCGCTGCTGCTTGGGTCGCCGTCGCCAAGGACTAGTCCCGTCCCGGCCCGGCCCGGCCCAGCCTAGCTCCAACCCTGCCCTACCCTGCCCTGCCCTGCCTTGCCTTGCCTTGTTTTGCTTTGCTCGGTCTTGCTCGACTTTTCGTAGATGCGATGCGCCAGAGTGTCCGGGCCGTGTCTTGGCCTCATAGAGACTTGGTTGGTCGCCAATGGACATGGATGTCTTGCTCGATCGGACCGGGATGGTGCCGATGCCTTGCGTTGCGTTGCGTCGCCCTGCCCTGCCCTGCCTGTCCTGGCCTGGCCTCGTCTTGCCTTGCCTTGCCTTGCGTCCCGAGGATCGTCGCCGGCGATGCAGTGGGAGAATGGGGGGTCAGGATCGAGAACGAAGGATCAGGGAGCGCCCATCGAGTTCGTGCCCGTCCCCGTCCCCGTTGTGGCTCCCGCTCCGGCTCCGGCTGCCCCCGTCCCCCCAGTGGCGGCGGTGGCGGTAGCGGTACCGCTCGTGGTGGATTCGACCGTAGCTGCACCCGCGCCACCGCCACTGGTACTGGACGACGAGGTGGTAGTAGTGGGGTTGTTCGGCCAGCCAATGTAGGCGTTGACGGTATGCGGTGCCCCCTTTTCGACGGGCGCGTTGATGGGTAGGTCCGAGATCCCTGTCGTGACGGCCAAGAAAAGAAAAAAAGAGACGGTCTGGCGTGGTGAGAAAGCCCGCTGCAACGATCGACGGAACCTGGAATCGAGGACGAGGGTGGAGCGACTTACAGCCGGGCTTCTTGTCGCGTCCGCCCTCGTCGTCCTCCTCCTCGATCTCGTCGCCCTCTTCAATCTCATCCAGCTCCTCGTTGCTCGTCGCCTCGCCCTCGAACCCGAGCCCGTCGGCACCAGCCACACCGGCGATGAGGTCCAGCCCGCTCGTCGCCGTCGACGACGACGATCCACCCAACATCCCAACCCCAACCCCACCCCCGCCGCCAACGCCAATGCCAATGCCGCCGGCGACGTGGCCGTTGCCGCCGCCGCCGCTGCGGCCATCCTCGGTACCCGGCCACCTCCGCCCTCGGCCGTCCGTGGCCCGACCGCGCACTCTCCGCCGCCGCCCGACGTCGCGACGAATAGAGTGT